AATGATAATAATAATAATAATAATAATAATAATAATAATAATAATGATAATAATAATAATAATAATAATAATAATAATAATAATGATAACAACAATAACAATAACAATAATAACAATATAATAAGAGCTTTTGGAATGAATTGTCACTCATAAAGGCAAAACTAACTACTATTGCTTGTCTTTTTAACCGAAGTACATGTACGTATATGACTTGACATTAATTTTTTTTGTTTCATGTTTTTTTTGTGTGTGAATGTTTTACAGCATTTGCAGCACAATCAGGTCATAAGAGTACCGAAGAGTAGAGGTGTTACAAACAAGAGAGTTACACGCACAACAAAGAAGGAAAGATAGGGGTAATAGATGTTAGATGGGAAAAAAGGAGTATCAGAGCACCCGCCACCCCCCCCCCCCATGACATTCTTCATTGCCACAATATCTTTGGATGAGTGTGGTAATGTAACCTCAAAATGTTTGCTTGATCAATATCGTGCCTTACGTCTTTTAGAATATATTGTAACATTAACAGATTACGAGGAATGGGCTTGTGGGTTCTATATAGTGTATCTTTCCGCTAAATCTCAGCATAGGTTCTCGTAGGTGAATTTCCCCATGATAAAGTTTGAACCTTTAGCTGGTGTGCCGTGGGGCTTCTTTTTCACGCCCCCATCGCAATCTCAGAAAAACACAATTAATTACAATAGGGGTACTTTGATTTTAGATTTTAACATCATCTCTTTTCATGATATCTGGTCCTGAACAAGGGGTCCCAGAACTACAAATTAATGTCACACAAAAGATGCCGTCAGTTTGTTGGAGTTTGAGCGCTAAATCAGCTGTTTGCACTGTATGTTTCTTGGGAAGCCGAGAATGTTTCTGAGTGTTCTAGGTTCTCCTGGGGGTAATTATACAATGTAGTTGTAAAGCGCTAAGAGCTTGCTGTTGAATCGGGATAAACGCTATAAAATGATATAATATGATAAGCTTATGGTGTAACGTCTCTGGATGCAGTACAATATGTTTCTGGTACCACATGTTTTGAAAGATGGGTTAAAATGCCAGCTGGTAGGCCAGGTAGTTTTTCTTTGCGCCCTACCCCTACCTCACTTCCAACCGCCTTCGGGGAAAAAGAGCACAAGGAGATGAAAATGTAAACTTCAAGATGCAAACAAACGAGCAAGCAAATTAGTCAAATGAAAATAGACATTGAGAATTCACCCCCACCCCGAAAAAAAACAACAACAACCACGCACACCCACACATTCATTAAAAAAAAAAAACACCCCAAAAAAGAAACAAACAAAAGCCAAACAAAACAAAACAAATTGATCACGAAACTTGGTCTTTAAGCTGTGGCATATCTCTCTCAGCCCGTGTCGGCCCTGACAGGCAGTGTCGAAGTTCGTGTCTTTTTTTTTTTTTTTTTCTTTTTTTTTTTTTCTCCGTGTCCTGATTTTGGTGCCCGTTTTTGTTGGTTACGTAAAAAGAAAGTAGTGGTGCAGATTATTATATGAAAGGGGAATTGTTGAGTCGGTAATGATGATGATGATGATGATGATGATGATAATGCTGCTGCTGATGATGATGTTGTTGGCGATGGTGACGGTAATGGTAATTGTGATAGTGAGCATGAGGATGATTATTTATGATGGCGATGATGATGTTCCGATGTAGGAAATGACATGCGTGTTAGTCTTAGTGTTAAGTTTGTTTGGTGCTTACTCTAGATCCCCGCCAGGCTGTCCTGGGGGGCAGGACACAACCCTCATTCCCAACTCCTCGCATAGAGTGACCAAAAATTTGGAAATAATTCGTCATCTTCATCCCTAGCATTTAATAAAAGTAGGCCGAAAAATCACATGGGTGCCGCTTCTAAGTGATGACATTGTTAGTGTGTTTGTTACCCTACGTCTATGCTATCATATTTTCAAAACAGTGAAATGAATGTGGCCAATAATCTTCGTAAAAATTAACTTTCATAGTCAAAGCAGACTAACTTGTGTGCTTACAGGTTATCGTTATCGTCGTTCGCCAAAGAGATAGAACATTTATAGGCCACTATTAATGAAATGGAAAGACAAACTAGTTAGTATTAAGTGCAGGAAATGTTATATC